ACAAATTACTCAATTTAGATATAACCTACCTCTGAATATCTAAAAATCAAGCAATATGGATACAACTCAAGGCGGCAATCTTACATTTGCTGCTTTTACAGATCACAAAACTTTGTTTCATCTAGATACTTTCCTTGATTATATGACTGAATGTATGAATGAAACTTCAGGTAAGGAAAGTAATATGGATTGGCGAGTTAATGTTAACCAAAACTCTTTATTTCTGATCTAGATTATAAAAAAAGTTAGATTATAACAATGAAGCTCTTTGGAATAACAGACTGTTACATAATTACTATCGTTGCAAACTTAGATGGTAAATAACGCAGAGACACAATAGATGTTGTAAATGACTCCTGTTACTCTAATCTCATAAGTGTAAAGTACTGATGATAGAAAGGAGATCAACAAGCTCTCAATGAGTGCTCGACTTAAAGTAAATAAAGCTAGTAATTCCAGAAGGTCCTTATCAGAGACCCACTATCCTTAAACAATCTAAAAGCCTTAAGCTATATTCTGGGATCCTGCAGTAATACAGTAATATTCTAAGTAGTACTAATGTAGACGCATGCGCTAGCTGACATAATCATCAATCCAGGAATCGTAGATAATTTTCTGTCCACACTAAACAAGATTAAATGTCAATAGTAACTTTCTTTTAATTCCCTCAAAAATAGTGCTGGCAGAAATACGGAGAAGAAGATGCTTTCAGAAATATAAATAGTGTTTAGGACAATTAAACTAATTCAAGTTAAGGTGAATTAATGGAATATGGTAACTTCCGAAAAAAGTGAAACTACATAAAGAAATGCTCTACTTTTCGTGGGCTAACTAACGTCCTCAAAGAAACTATGTGACAAAAATTATCCAAAGATAACAGACGTACAAATATGGTCTCAGGACTCTTACTGTGAACAGTGCCAAAAACGATTTGAAAGGGATTTGGAAAACTATCAAACATGCGTCAACTTACCTGAAAAATAAGTAGCTCTTCCCCAAGCAACTTTAAAATGTTAACGGGAGTTAACCTCATTTTGCCACCGTTGGTACAATATTACAGAAATCAATTAAGAAAAAGGATTCAGAACGACTTCCTAGAAATATATGCCGCCTCGACCAGAGTGTAAACTCTCTGGTATTCGAAGCGGTTTACTGTTGAACAAGTAAAAGAATATATACTCAGTATACCATCATATAAATCATTAACGATATCATGCCTATTAAAGTCTATAAGTAATTATTCCCAAATCATCGATCCAGTAAACTCATATTATAAACTTAGTATGAAAAGTTGGAAACAATGCCCGTTGCATGTAAAATTGCCATCAGTCCCAACTCCAATTCTTAAAACTGGTGACCCTAATGATTCCAAATAACTACTCGCCAATATCCATACTCCCCCTACTTGGAAAATGCATAGAATATTTTTGTTAACCAACAGCCACCAGAGTATGTTGAAACAAATAAACTGCATACCAACATACGTATGGATTAAGAAAAGATCATTCCACACTGTTCTATGCTTAATCTATTGAAAAATATTTACGTCTAAGGAATCAACAGAAGGAATCCTGCAATTGTTTCTTAGATAATTAAAAAGGCCTTTGACACAGTAAGCCATAATATTTTATGTGAAAAAACTTAAGTATTATGGAGTTGATGGCTTTGTCTTAAAGTTGGTTCAAAAGTCTACCTTGGGACAGAAAGCAGCACACCAAAATACGTGGTAATGTAAGCACAATCACTCCCTGTTAAAACCGGTGTGCCACAGGGTAGCCATCTTAGGACCAATTCTATTTAGTTTATTCATAAATGATCTCATAGAAATGCACACATTCTACTGTATTACGTATTTGCAGATGACATGCACCTATATTTTGATAACATTTCCCGAGCATATATGATAATGTAAATTAAGGATATGAAAATTGTGGTAGAATGGCTTAGAACTCAACACAACAAGCTGAGACTAAATGCTGCAAAATCTTCCTTCATTGTATTTGATAGATATCCTAATCTGGACACGTTTCAATCCCTCTGGATTGGAAAAATAATGCCTTTTTATAGAAGAAACTAAATCTCAAAAATATTTTCGGTCTCATGAATAGACAATTTATTGAACTTTCAAGACCATATTGATTATGTAGAAATCAAAAATTGCTAAAAGAATAGGGACAGTTATTAATATGGTCGAAAATCTTCTTCCACTGAAATATAGAAAAATGTTTGTAAAAGCTCTTATGCTACCCCCATGTTTGTACTACCTGGAATAATATGGTCCTAGGGCTGCCAAAACAACTTAATTTCCTCTTGATATATTATACAAGAAAGTAGCAAAAATTGCACTGGAGGTTCTTTGGCAGGAACCACAGTAAATGTATATCGAAATATGAAGTGGTTACCCTTACACTTAAGACGACAACTCACCTATCATACGATTAGTAAAAATACTTAATGAGGCGCACACATCATCATTCACCGTAAATTTTCTTATGTATCCGGAGGATCACGTGATGTTGAGAGGTTCAACTTTATATTCACAAATCCAGAACACACAAACCTTAACATATTTAGGTGCAAAATGTTGGGAATACAATTCCAGAGAACATAAGGACTATAGGAAATGTATGTAAATTTCTCACTATGTAAGGAAATCTAAAATTATTGTCAGATGAAATTCAAGGAGTCTCATCCTATGAAATAAACAAAGTTTCGACTATTTCTAACACTCTAGCTCTGTGCAACTGAAACAATTTTTAAGTGCCTGGATTTTTTTGTCGGTGAAAAGGGCCCCCTGCGTGAATATGACCTATTTTCAGAAGTATAGAACTTTAAACATCTCCTTTATTCGTTTCCCATTTGGTTATCATTGCCATTCGATAATGTTTTCTATACTCTCTGGTGTATAACTGTAAAATAATCTTTACTTACGATTATTCCAAAGTGGGCATCTATGTAATTTTTCAACATTAATTTTACCTTCATGCCCATAGTTCATGTTAAATCATATCTATTTTAAACCACGCATTAATTATTTATTTGTATTTTGTTTTAACAATTTACAGCTATATCCTTATGTCCCTAAAGGGTGTTCTGCAAACAGTTTTTGACTTGACTTGAATGTCCTGCATCAGCAGATTGAAGCTTTCTTAATTATTATTTTATTCTATTGTATTGCTGTGTTAATTTGATCCTAATTCTAATTCTAATTCTAACAAATAACACTAATTAACAATAAAATATACCTTTAAAAGGAAATATAACACATGTTAAAGAACAGTTCATTGGAACATTCTATCTCGATTATAAAAATACTTGATTTGTAAGGTCATGTGATATTCAAAAATCGTTCACTTCCTATTTCCTTAAATCTGGGAAAATAGAACTGGAAAAAAATAGGGAAATCATCAGTAAAAAATCATTTAATATAATCGTGTAAATAATCAGTAATATAATCATGACAATTCGGAATAGTATATTATCGAAATAACGAGTATGACCCCCTTAGAGATCCCCTTAAATGCTGATATTGTTCTATTGTTTTAAACTAAAGAAATAGGTCACTCTAAAGGTTGCATGCTGATTGCTGATTGGGTCATGTAATACGGCTATGCTTGAATTTGTAATTGATCGGTGGACATGGAATGCAACAAAGAATGTGGTTGTAAAAGAAGTGAACTCATTTGCAGGGACCGTGCATTTAGAACACTGCTACTCACAATTACCAAACTACGTGGCACTTGGAAATCCCCACTAATTACCATTTATACATTGGGGAGAACTGGTAAACAAAGAAATAGGGGAAGGGAGGGAAAGTAACGACCACACGGAAGAGTGGAACACCCCCAATTAAATAAGGATCCAGTAGTCCGTGTTAATTGCTGTTTACTGAAACTATAAAGTTTTACAGTTAGTACAATATATGATAGGAAGCTACTGCACTATTTGGACAAACTCAATGCACCGATAGTTTGACTATTTGAGTCCGAGAGGTCACATGGTTCACATTATCATTATCTCATGTAAACTCGCATCACTTTCTTCAAAACATATCATGAATAAGAGAGTAAAATTACCTCGTCTCTAAAAATGAATGCCCAAACAAGTCCGAATTTTTATTGAGCCCAAAGTTTATTTTAATAATTCCTCTAAATTCCTCTAAACACCTCCAAGGCTAAGATGTTTTCATGAAGTTCAAACTTAAGGATGTTGATTTTTTTGCGGAAATAATTTCAACAGATAATATATCTGTTTACTGGTAGAGAGATTGACCATATTTGACACGTGACAGTGATTCTGGGTAGTGATTGGTCAATACCGGAAGCTGATCCATGTCACGTACAGATCTTTAAAACACCTCCCCACCTACATCCACAACCTCCAATTTAGATACAAGTGCGTACGTGGTTATTATATTCACCACCTTTTTGCTGTGTCTAGCTAATAGCCATGTATCATACATACTCACACTCACACACACACATATATATAATCTATATATAGAATATATATATATAACTTGCTCTCACAGAACGAACAAAGGGCAGCCTACTGCAGCATCTCAATGGGCTAACCTCTGAGCCATTACCTTCTTATCACCAAGCACTAAGGGAGGGGAGGCAGGTATAAGGGAGGTAGTGAGAGAGATCTGGATCAGATCATGCTCTCTCTCTACCTCCCTGATTATCTGGTGCTCTGTAGTTTGTGATATTACCTCACGTACAAGCAATACAGTCAGCGCTCATTAACGAAACCTTAAAGGAAGGAGATTTAAAAGAATTTGTTCACAAGCATGTGATTACGGAGATGTGTGTTATTAGAGTCAACCTAGTAGTTTGTAATGTGAGGAAGGAATCTGAAGATATCCGCGTGTCAGGATCTCTGGTACTTTTATACTTTAAGCAAGGAAAAGTGGTGTATCGGGGAATTCCATAATCTTTAAAATTATTAGTAAAGTTGACTGATGGTTACTCTAAAGTTAATTCTTGTTTGTTTTTCAGGACAGCGTGTTTTAATTTCATGTTAAATCACATGGATGTTAACAACTGTATGGGACTCCTTCATATAGCAGAGCGTCTTGATTGCAAGGTTGGTATTGAAATCATTGTTAATTGTAAAATGTATAAGAATAAGATTTTACTTACTTTATTTATTATATAATTTACAATGTATGTTATTATATGATTTACAATGTATGTTACAATGTAATGTTATTTATTTAGTGTACAGTATAACATTTTAGTTACTATATTGATTATATTCATTAGAATTAACTGTCATTAAGTGTAGTTATTCGGAAACGTTTTAACACATGCAAGGTCACGCTTGTACGTGTTTTAAACGACCTGCACGATTCAGTAAATACCAAGTGGTAAATACTTAGTGTTTGTTACTTGACATCTTGGATTTTGTAAGATGTCACGTGTCAACACACTGCTGCTAAGTAAAACGTCCTTTCGAGAAGAAAATTAAGATTAATACAGTTTGCGTTGTGTGTCAACACTTTAAATTCCCCAAAATACAGTCAAACAGTGAGCTGAGTAATTACAGTACAACACTACTTTAACACTGTCACGTGACATCATCAGTACCTGCAGCAGGTAACAGGTAACTCGTCACAGGTAACAGGTAACAGGTAACAGGTCACGGTAACCGTGTAACAGGTAACAGGTAACAGGTAACAGGTAACAGTTTATTTAGTGACAGTTAAACACCTATTTACTACGGAGTTTGGGAAACAGCCGCGGTAAATAAAACATGTTAGCACACAATATGTTAGTACACAATACGTTAGTACACAATATGTTAGTACACAATATGTTAGTACACAATATGTCACTGTTAGTACACTGGTACGGGTAGTGTGTAAGTACGTGTGCAGCGTATTTATACTGTATAATATTACAATAACCACAAACATAATTTGGTTATAATAAAAAAAAAAATACCGCAGATGGATATGGGTAGAATACGCTAACAATAAGTGTGTATATGAAGTAAAACCAATAGTATTGATGGGTACAACCAATGTATTGATGAGTAAAACCATGTATTGAGGTGTAAAACCATTTGTATTGAATTTTGTGTAAAACCAATGTATTGCTGTGTAATACCAATTTTTGATGTTATAAAACCAATGTATTGATGTGTAAAACCAATGTATTGATGTGTAAAACCAATGTATTGATGTGTAAAACCAATGTATTGATGTTATGTGGTAAACCAATGTATTGATGTGTAAAACCAATTTATATTGATGTGTAAAACCAATGTATTGATGTGTAAAACCAATGTATTGATGTGTAAAACCAATGTATTGATGTGTAAAACCAATGTATTGATGTTAAAACAATTTATTGATGTGTAAAACCAATGTATTGATGTGTAAAACCAATGTATTTGATGTGTAAAAACAATGTATTGCGGTTATGTTAAAACCAATGTATTTGATGTGTAAAACCAATTTTAATTGAGGTGTAAAACCAATGTATTGAGTGTAAAACCAATGTCTTGGATTGTGTAAAACCATGTAGTGAAGTGAAAAACCAATGTATTGATGAAAGTATGTAATTATATGCTGATATGAGTAGTATTCAACATTATACATGCGTAACAAAATGACACAATCCTCACACACACACACACAGATTTAAATTTTACTCCGACAGCTGGTACGGTCCACCACTAACTAAAAGTAACAATAGTTCTGATCTATTGTTCTACGTCACAACACTAACCATCCAGGACCCTGTTATTGAGAGTAACCACTATAGTACGTCACAACACTAACCATCCCTGTTATTGAGAGTGAATCAATAGCCGGCACTGTTTTACCTGCTACTACCCGAGCTGCAGAAAACAGTTTATAGTACAGAGCCCAGCTCTTCCACGTGATGTTTCGCGTGATTAAGTTGGCAGATAACAACCATCCACTAACCACTGAATAGCTTGCCAACCAATGTACTCCCAACATCACATGCGACACAGTTTTGTAATATATTTACTATTTAGTGATGGAATAATAACATTATTCGGGGTCATGTCATATATTATAGAGGGACCCTGTCAGTATATAATATATATAGGAACCCTGTCAGTATATACGGGACAATGTCAGTGTGCCAGTTAAATACTGGGGGCTTATGACCAGCTACCTGAAATATATATACAGTGATAATAATAGATTTGTGCAGGGTCTCCCCCTCATCACCATCATCATCAGATCAGCGGTATTATTCTGTGAGCTGCATTGTACATTTTGAATGGATCATGGTTTGAGTATACATTATCATTATTAATATACTGTACTATACTCTCTGGAACATTTGTTGTTTCTTTGTCTCGTCCGGTCTAATTCGTCTCACACTTTTGTTTTGATTCAACTTATTTTCAAAAAGTTCTCACTGTGTTTTTGTTGTGTTCGTCAGGAGTGAAGAGGAGTGATGCAGGTGAATTTAAGTAAATCCTCAGTTGTGATTCTTGGTTCGATTATACCAAATCAGCTGACAGTGCGGTATTTTTAACTAATAACACACTTTGTGGGGCATCACCTATGTGACACAAGCTAAGTGTTATTTTCTTATATCACATGTGCTCAATCATTCGGTCATGTGATCAGTAATCCACCAATGATGGCACAGTACTCGATACAGGCTGGAGATAGATTCACAGGGCAAACAGTTTCAACTTAGTGTTAAATGGAGGCATTGCTAGGTATTAATGGTGCAGGTATTACATTGCTCTTAGCCTGACAAAATGTAATCTGTGGGAATATTAACTGTGTTCAGTGAATGATTCACTGCGAATCCAATAAGTGTAATTGAGGACAGGAGACAATACTCTTCAGAATATAATGCCCGTATAAGGGTTTGATGGATCAGAGATGTTTATTCCCGGTAGTGTCGAGAGTTCGATATGATGAAAATTCAGAGATAATTATAAATTCAGAGATAATTACACTTACTCTATGTTGGAAAATATGTACTGTATGTCAAGAATCAATATTTCCTGCAATCAGACAACAAATGAGTGTTGAAAGTATTAAATTCTGAGGAAACATGTTCTGCAGAAAAATGTTCTATTCTGAAAGAAATATATGCATGTGAGTTGTAACGTAGTACCATTTCAGGAAACGATAGCAAGTTCCCTGAACTACATATCACAGTACTTCGAAGATATTTACCCGAGTGAGGAATTCCTAGAAATACCTCTGATGAAAATTAAAGCTATTCTCTCGTCTGATGAACTCAATGTACAGTCTGAGTTGGTGGCATTTGAAGGTATGTTAATATTTAATTGTTGGGATCTAAATTCTAACGACGGTCACTTTTGGTATAAAATTGTGGTATTTTCATCATTTATATGTCTGATTTTTATTTACTCATACCGAAATTTAACTATACCTGGATTATACATAATTTCATTATTAGTCTAGTGTGATTGTTTAAAAGTGTGATTGTTTAAAATTTCCAGGTATGTTAAAATGGGTAAAACACGATCTAGAAAACCGGTCAGAATTCCTGGCTGAGCTGTTAAACTTGATCAGATTAAACCTGCTGACTGTGGAGCACCTGATTGAAAAGATAGAATGCGAACCGCTCGTCATGGCAAACGCAGAGTGCAATAGGATTCTACACAATGTAAGTTTTACTGGTTGTTTGCTTATTGCATTTCTGGAGTAGATTTGATCCAAAGTTTTTAGACAGAAATTAGCTTGACCAGTCGTTGATTAATCAAATTTTTAACTCGCTTTTGCGTGTAAAAAAGGATCACGTTAAAGTTTATTGTTATTTGCATATTATAATAGTTTCTTATTTGATTCGTTGCTGGTAATGTTGTCATAACACACAACTTATGTGAAGTCTGAAAAGTGAAAACACACATCTGTGTTGGGTGGAACTGACCTGCGATTCATAAACGGTGAATTATCGGAACGGGGCAGCGGCTGCTTCTCCATTCTTATTGAATTGGGACTGCTGAGAAATTTTGAAAATAGGGTCAGCACGAAATGAGGCCGATTTTTTCAGTCTGAATTTTCAGGCTTGGAATATTTTTCGTTCTATGGACCTTGAAGAGGCCCAAAAAATTCTCAGCCCTCTACTATGGCTGCAGGGCAATGTGAATTGTGCATAAATGACTTGAGTCCAGACTATGACCGAATTTTTCCGAAGTTGCATGTTACACAGCCATTCTAGGTTTGAGTCGGACTTTCCGGTCCATTGTTCTGCGGAACAATATTTAACGAAAGTCAATCATTTCAATATCTGAACGATAGAATTTTCTTAAACTTTCTAGATAGTTATATGATAATAAGACGAAAAATCTGTGCAAGTTTGGGCGAATTTCTATGTGCCAAATTTGAGATCACTTTTAAAGTCTGCTCTTATTTGTAGCACGCGATGCAAAAGATTTTATGTTTCGGCATTATATTTTACGCGCATAGCGCGCGCGCGCCTAGTATAGCTAGCCTAGATAACCGGCCGGCCGCGCGCGCTATCGATATTATATGGCTCGTTAAGTCGCTAAATTTGGCTTTATTGTACAACGTATAAATTTGTAATCTGTTTCCTAGTCTCTTTACCCCATGCATTGTTATAAAATTCAAGTCCTGAAAATTCACAACATTTCATTTAATCCATGTGTTGTCACATTTGACATTATAATTTGACTAGTGTAACCCGGCCTACGGCCGGGATTTCACTGCCGCAGTTAAAAAGGGTAGGAGTAATTACCCGCTGAGTCAAAACCCGGATTAGGCGAGCAATTCTATTCGGAGTGCCCTCACGTATCCAATAGTATGCTTAAAAGATAGTAATTCTTAATCAATAATCAATGGAAATTAACCCTTAACACCATGCACCACACCAGCCTATCATATTTGTGAACATGCATTACATTGTCGTATGAAAGTATGAACTCTCTCTACAGTCCAAACAGACCGTTTGAGCACTCCCTCCCCTAATAAGTTTATAGTATTATATGACCATGTAATATATACGCCATGTAATATATACGCTAAATAATATTATTATTATTATATGCAGAGAGAGAGAGAGAGAGCTAGCCCCGTAACTCTTGCCGTTCTTCTCAAGCCATTTTATGTAACATATTTTGTGGTACAAAACCATCAATTAAACCACTTACCACCGGCCGATTTTTATAAAATTTGCCTATTGGCTTCGTCAGAGTTTTGTCGGCACTATACCGAAAAAACCAGTCCCGTAACTATTACCGTTTTTTTTGTATAACCGTTCGGAAATTACACACAGACGATCAGACAGACAGACAGACAGACACACACACACACACACATTCTGGTGTTATTAAGGTGATAGTCGGGGACGAAGTGAGAATCTCCACTTAGTGTTTAAAACAAATAATTGTCGACGTTTCGGCAAACGCCTTTGTCATGGAAGAGACGTTACAGAAACTTCTTACATAGCTCAATAAATGTATCATGAGAGCGAAATGTATCATAAGAGCGAAAAAAGATTGCTATGTTGCCACATTAATTAGTTAATACGCCAGTTAAATCACGTATTAGTTTATGTAGGAGCTCTAGTGCTCCTCCTTAAAGATGAAATTGCTAGGGTTACGTGATCGTTAACAGTTTTGGTATTTTTGCTGGTAAACGTTACAAAACTTCGGCTCTTCGTAGAATTCCGAAATGATTCTATCAACTCTTTTGAATAATAGGTCTCCATACGAGATAACAAGCTCACGGGTAATCTTCTGACGTTGCTTCCACTTTCCTGATGCCCGCGTGATATTTAGTAATTACTCACCGAATATTGAGATCGGAACTCCCCGGATGTGAAGAGGATGAGCCAGAGGAGCGATATTACAACAACTGTGTGGGATCCCTCGAACAACCTGAAGAGATGACACCTCAACCTACAGTATTCAACTTGCTACCTTGTGGCATGCGCAAGACGGTGCTTCCTCTCTTTCTCCGGAAAAGGCTACTACCGAAAAGCCACGTATGAGGTATGCACTCAACAACAGAACTGCTACACTCGGTGATGGGTTCGCCTCATCTTCTACGGAGCGGAAGAAATTCGGACAAATTAAAGTAGAGACGGTCTTAAACATCAAGGACCGACTTTGAGAAAGTTGAAGTATTATATTCCAAAAAAGCAAAAAGGATATTTTCCATATACGATAATTCTTATCACTTTCCGAGTGTATTCCAAAAATCAAAAAAAGATATTTTTCATAAATCATGGACCGACTTTTAAAAAGTTGAATTATTATATCCCAAAAAAACAAAAAACATATTTTCCATATACAATATTTCTTATCACTTTCCGAGTGTATTCCAAAAAGCAAAAAACATATTTTCCATAAATTATTATCACTTTCTGAGACCCGAAGTTGTTGTTTTACTGGTACTAAAAACTAATTAATCGCGAACAAAGCAAACTGATAACTTGAAAAACTTTGTCTGCTGGGTTATCAAGAGAAACAGTACACGAAGTAAAAATAATAACAAATTTATTATTCTACTTGTGACCACCAACCAGCGACTTATGCCCTCCAGTCTACAGATTACTTAATTGTTTCTAATAATAGAATTACCCCGACCACTATACACGGAAACCACCGGAATGATGGGCCTTCTTGGATACTGCCATGTTCCTATGAGAAAATGACATAGTGAAATGCCTGACCGAAGTATTGTGTTACGAATAAAATTGGTGAAGTGCAAAAATGACAAGGCCAATTTCGTATCTCAATAGCGTGTATTATTACATCAATGTGGCTTTATTCGTTGATAATCCGAACTTGGTGATTGGGCCAGACATCAGAATTGTGTTTTGTGATTGTGAACCGACCCAAATCTCGTATCGGCAAATTATCCATATTAATTCAAAGTGTAAAAACATCAGAACTAAATGATTTTGGTTTCAGGTGAAGAACCACCACCTGATGCCCCACAAGAGGCAGTTTGTTAAACTGCATGGCGTTCCAACCAACTCTGAACGAGTTCCCAGGAAGAGAATCAGGTTATTTTATATTTAATACTCAACCAATTCCGATAATTATCTTTAAATCTTTACATACATACAACATTTTTTGATTTCTTTCACATTTGTCACAATTCATTATTTTGTGGAAGTGATGTTATTGAGACTTTGGGCGGCCATAAAACTCCTGTTTTGAAAGTTGTCCTCTGTAGTCTGTACGTGCATCACAAGTTTTTTTAAAGGGAAAAAGAAAAAGTAACCATTAAGTTGATCGTCTGTACCATTTCAGGCCTCACGCACTGTTCGTTTGTGGTGGAATAGACTCGAAGAGAATCTTCTTAAAGAGGTGATTAGATTTGTTCAAATTAAAAATAATTTAACCATACAATATGTCCTATCCATATATTTAATCAATCACGATAACACTTTCAAATTTATGTGTGTACAAGTTTAACTATTTGAAACTATTTAACTCATCAGATATTCAACTGTTATTCATTATACTTGATCACATATAATCATGATACGGAAAATTTATGATTACAGATGCATCAACTCCATTGTCATTATTTTGATAAAAACGAGCTAATTTTGTAACAATCATCACAAAGATAGGTGCATTTTTTGGTTTTTTTCAACTTTCATCATATTCTAATAATAATATCTTTCATTATCCGATAACCATATGGATTATGGTATTCGTTAAAAAGCCTAAATTCAGTGTGGAATGTTACGACGTGGAACGAGAAGAATGGTTCCCCTGCGCGGACATGCTCACCAAACGAGGCAGTCACGGCATTGCTCTCATGAACGGCAAAATATACGCCGTAGGTAAGTGATCTGTATATTTTGTAGGTAGGTGAGCAATAAGTGGCACGAACTTTAATTTATTAGGAAAGCCGCCTCTGGAAATAACTTAATAATTTCCAATCGAGATTATTTGTTAATGCAGAATGTTTGATAAGCTCTGTGGATGTAATCTTAATTCTAACGGGAGCTGATTAAAACAATTGATCACTAGTCACTACAAGTTAGTGCTCAGCTGCTTATTTCCAATGTGGCCTGAAACGTTTTATTTTTAGTTTCTGATAATAGTGTCTGGTGCTCTGCTGACCTCAGACACCATTGTAACATAATTGAAATACCTAAATGATATGGATGAAATTTACATTTTTATAAAATTTCCGGGAAAAGTTTTCTAAAGCTTCCGGGAAAAGAGAAGGAGAATAATAGCGATGTTAAGATTCTGGTTTTGAAAGTTATTTGCACGTGGTTACCAGAGAACCAAATGTTACAAACGACCGTTTTTAAGACTGGATAACCCCACTACCCCAGGTGGACACGACGGTAACGAGTTCCTCGACACTGTGGAGATGTATGATCCTATAACTGATGTGTGGACCAGTATTCCTAACATGACGCGCGCACGTAATGGCGCAGGCGCCGCCGTCATTGGAGACAATCTTTACGCCATAGGTCGGTGGTTTGTGGTGTGATACTGGTCAGGGTCTTGTTAATTACACATATTCCCGGTGATAATCACACACATTCTCGGTGATAATCACACACATTCCCGGTGATAATCACACACATTCCCGGTGATAATCACACACATTCCTGGTGATAATCACACACATTCCCGGTGATAATCACACACATTCCCGGTGATAATCACACACATTCCCGGTGATAATCACACACATTCCCGGTGATAATCACACACATTCCCGGTGATAATCACACACATTCCCGGTGATAATCACACACATCCCCGGTGATAATCACACACATTCCCGGTGATAATCACACACATTCCCGGTGATAATCACACATATTCCCGGTGATAATTACACATATTCCCGGTGTTCAGGAGGCCGAGACAAGCAGTCCCGTCACAAGACATGCGAGAGGTTCTCACACGAGAGGGGGTCCTGGCAGCAGATATCGGACATGAACCACGGTCGGGCTGGTGCTGCTGTTGCCGCTCTCAACAACAAGTCAGTTTTACTTTTTACCTCATTTTTTTCCTTTTATTTGGTTATTTTTATTGGTTTTCAGGTTCAAGAGAAATGACGATAAAATTAACCGAAAATAAAATTATAAGATATATTCATGACAATATTGGATCCCTCAAGACAAATAAAAGTTCTGAATCTCAAAAAATCTATAAAATCTAACTGAAAAAAAATAAGACTTGCTTTTTAAGAACAGTTTGTTGGTCTAGTTGGCTGTGCAGGTGTAATCTCCCTTCACAGCTTGTACTGAACTCCCCTCTGACAACTGGAAACTGTTGACTCCTGAGTCCACCGGCTCGTTATCTCCAGACAAGATCCTTACCAGAGGTCCAGCCAGTTTCACAGATGAAACCTTGTCGTTGAAGACAGCATCAACTCTGGTCCAATCCAGTGGTCCTGTCTTTACGAAGAGTGGTTCTCCAGCGTAGTCAGCGTTGTCGTAGAACTCCCAGGTTTCTGCTCCGGGGATCTTGAATCTGGACAGATTGTTGTCAAGACCAACCAGGTTTCCTGGTCCGTTAACCGCCAGGACTCTATCACCTCTTTGTGCATCTGTGTAGTGAAGTCCAGCGTACAATGGTGAAGACATTTTCACAGATGAAACCTTGTCGTTGAAGACACCGTCAACTCTGGTCCAATCCAGGGGTCCTGATTTTACGAAGATGGGCTCTCCAGTGAAGTTGTCGTTGTCGTAGAATTCCCAGGTCTCGTCTCCGGTAATCTTGTATCTGGACAGATTGTTGTTCCAGTTCGATACTCCGTTGAGGTTCATGTTGACGCCAATTTCCAATTCTTTATCGCCACCTTGCGTATCTGTGTAGTGCAGACCAATAAAGAGGTTTCCGCTTGCTACTGCGAACAGTGCAGACACCAGAAATACCTTGATCATTGTACAAGAGAAGTTCAACGAGCTATAGTGAAGTGAGCTTCTCAGCTGAAAGTGCGAGCTTAAGAAGGTAGCTAGAATGGTGCTGACGTACTGAGGCACTTCTCCTCGTGAGGGAGCCCTAAGAACTTGCTTCAAGAGTCGCCTAATGCTGCTCCGTGATTATGATGGTAAACGTGACAATTGTAGTGCGAACAGGTGGTCGTTACACGTGATGTTTTTCTAGCATCACGAGTATAGGACGAGAGGGCGGTGAATACAAGGGTGAAAGAAACGAGGGCGTAGGACACAATGGCGGCACTTTCCTGAAAGGGTGTAGGAAAGTACCGCCCTCGTATGTCCTCCGCCCTCGTGTCCGATTCCCGCTTCTTACAGCTATATGTCTAAATTCAGTCCTGTTCATCAGCTCACATTTCTAAATTTATCTTCAAAGACAGATTAAACCGTACTCACTCATTTTCCGTCTGTGAGATTTAGTGAGCATTTCCACATGGGAATTATCTGGCCGCGGGGGCTTCAATAACCTTAGCTTCTAGACACTATACAGTGCTCATTTCACTGTATTATAAGCGGGGCTCATAAGTCTTGTCACCTGGGTAGGACTAGGAGGATGTACGTGTTTGAAAGCCTCTGAAAAAACCAACGTCGTTTCATCTACAGATAAAACTATAAATAGTTTAAAGGGGGTTTGAAGGATTGGAGGGGGATCTAGAAACATAAAGATATGTTTCTAGAACCCCCCTCCAATCCTTCAAAATAGTTTATGATTTATTTGTGACTTCCAAACTATTTATAACATTAATACCCTGTCAGGATATACGCAGTAGGTGGAAGGAGTAATGATAAAACCTATCTTCGGAGTATGGAGTATTATGATCCTGAAACAAACCAATGGAACATTCAGAAACCAATGGAATCCTGTCGATATTTCTTTAGGTTAGTTTGTGTTTGATATTCTGTTTTAAAATTCTATGCAGAGGAAACATATAAGTGCGGTGGGTGCGGTATCGCACTATTGACCTAATACCGTACTTTTTCACACCATCACGATCGGCCGTTATTAGTTTCATCATATTTGTGTACTTGGTATCGCTGTGTACAATGAGATCGGCATGCCCATAACTATGGTTAGGATCAAACTTTTTTCATGAAGTAACATAAAATATTGGAAAGTAGAATTAATTTTTTAAATCATGAAAAAAATATGCAGAAATTTCATTATCATTATTATCATCAGATAGCAATACAAGTTGATAATAGATTGACAAATGACAGGTTTCCAATGGTGAAAAATGGTGAAATTTTACAATTTGGAAACCCGATTCACCATCAAAATCATTCACCATTTTACACCATTTTACACCATTTTACACCATTGGATACCATTGGAGTAAATTTGTCGTTTTTAAGGTATACACATATTAGCGACAAGAGAAACGCCATTGTTGGACGTGAGGAGAGTGAGGACTCCTCAAACTACATTAAATTAATTCCTTCTGTAACGTCCTCAATAAATGTAATAGATTTGTAGTGTTGTAATTAGTTTAAAACTAATTTCTTAAGGTATATACACATATAATAACCACACAATATTATGTTGTAAAGTTATAATATTGACTAAACTCTGCCCCAGTCATGAGTCATCTGATTGTAAAACCTTCTATGCGGGTAATTCTATAGATTTATACATCTTGAATTGCCAGGAGGCAGGAGTCTCACCCTCAGTGAAGGAAAAGAACCTTGTATATTATGATTTAGGAGTGTCTGCTTTATACTCGGACGATGAGCCCTCGGTCCCCACAAAAGATAATCTTTAGTTAAGACTACAATTTGTGAAAAGGAACTCATGGTCAGTCTATAAAACACATGAAAAGCAGTGTGCTCCATACCCCTCAGTCTCTAGCTTTGTTATCAAAACAATATATTCGATCACGTGATGTTATCTCATTGTAAACAGGGTTTATTTGTTTGATTACGTGTAGTATGGTAAAGTATTAACACAAGTTAACTAATAATATTATGTATATGAGTACAGATTCGAAGTGGAACATCGAGTTCCGTTCTGGCGAGGTCTGGCGAGCTGGGAGGAACTTTCGAGATCGTCTGGAAGGGCTGATCTAAAAGCAGGCTCTGCTCAGTATTTATTGCTAATCTAAATATGGTGTATTCAATGTTCGAGAGAAATACATAAGAATACGTGAAGTTTCCAATTAATAAGCCCGAAAAAAATTGAATTTAGATCCTGTTAAATTTTGCCCAGAATACGTCTAAAATTTGTCCGAAATACACGCGCAGATCAAAATTTATTGTAAAAAATCGTTCTTACTCGTGGAAATCGAAGTACGACAATTTTCGGCGACAAATACGTTTGCGTATCCATACTTTTGTTTGAAACGTTACGTATTTAACAGCATTGACGAATATTACATATGACATCTGACTTTGCTCTGCAAATACATTATCTTTCGCCGCGATTTTGCCTAGTTTGGCATGTCGCGGCGCCGCGATTTTTGGCCTAAATAAACGCGATTTTCTTTTGTCCTTGATAGTTGATTATGGGACAAGGGAAACACCATCTTAGGACATGAGGAGAATTAGGACCCCTCGTACTACAGGGTGGGCCAAAAGTCAGTACCCATACGTTGGCCTTAATAGCTCCGCCGTGTTTTATATTTGAGAGCTGTTGCTTTGCAGATGGCATACTGTACTTACTGGTTCGAGGATTCCGTCGTCAAAATTTGAAAATTCGAATATTTTAGACCACGCCCATTCAATATTAAAACACCTATATTGTTTTCTCTGAACATGCTGAACGCCTAATTTTTTCAGAGACGGTAGATTATTAAATGTTGCATATGATCCGAAAATATGAGGCAAAACGGATTAGAAATGACGAAGTTATCAAGCATTTTCTGTATCTCGTTATCAATTTTGACTGGGTGATTATGTGACACCGTGACACGACACCTTAATTGGGCACCCTTAACAATTCCCATAATGTTTAACGGGGTAGTTAACGGGGGCACCTTATCACGTGATTAGGTAAACCAATCACCTGATCACACGTAATGAATAAACTCGTTATGCTTCATATCTCGGTCATCTGAGAAGCTACAGTTCTAATTCTTTCAGGACAAACGTAATTCGAATGGCCAAACACAATTCAATAATATTTAGCTTGATCCGACTATCCAAACTATCAAATAAATGTGAAAATGAACCTCCATTTGAAAAAAATGAACGCGAATATTTTTCGAGTTGACAAATTCCTCGAACCAGTGGTGGTACTAAGTCATACCAGAAAGAAGTATTTAAATTGGGCACTCAGTGACTGAGCTATAAAGGCCAACGTATGGGTACTGACTTTTGGCCCACCCTGTACATTTACAATTCCTTCTGTAACGTTTTCAATAAATGTAATAGAGGGGGGGGGGGGTCCACGTTAAAAAAGTTAAATTCTAAGATCGAGATTTTGGAATTTAACATTAATTACTTTAACTTTTTTAACTTTTTTAACATAAATTAAAAATCAGATTTTGGCTGACTAATCGGTTCAAATTTTAACATAATTACCCAAATTAAACTCAATTATGAGTGTTGACCTTTAGTACTAGTAGTACCTCGCTCTTGCAATTGTTTTCTGTAGTTGTAACTGATTTGATAACTCTACAAAAAAACACCTTGTATCTATATATTATACACATAATTGTATAATTTACTAATATAATCATTCATATAATAGGAAAAAAGAATATGGCTTGGCGGTGTAAGTGCGGAAGGGTTATGGAAAGTCTCGCATACGACAGATGTTTACGTTGCAATTTAGCGAAGGCATCAGGAGAGTCGCTCATTCGCTTGAAGGGTTCCTGTAGCTGTAATCCCTGTACCCGAACCATCTACTGAGGACACATCATCAGGTATTGATACTCCGGAGCTTCCTCTAGCTGCAATCCCTGTACCCGAACCATATACTGAGGACGTATCAGTTGTTGTCAACACTTCAAAAAGGGCTGCTGATTCATCAAAACCTAGAACTCAATATGATTCTGAAGACGAATCATCTGCTGATGTTATCACTACTGCGATAATAACGAGCAACTCATTCAAGAGGAGAGCTGTCCCTACTTTTAGGATTCCAAAGATTAAGAAACCGACGGTGCAAAGCAAATTGACGATTATGGATAAATCTTCATCGACGGGTCTGAAGAAGAAGGAGCATTTGCGGGCTAACACTGATAATTTAACCACGAGAACTCCCACAGTAGAAAATCCTAAATTCACAATTGGACGACCAGTTGATGTTGATAAGATAAACAGCAGCAAGAAAGCGTTAAATTCAAAGAAGGAAACAGCACTTAACAAGTTGTCTACACGACTCATTGAAGGTGGAACTGCAATCAAGAATGATAATCAGCAGGGAAATCGGGACAAATTGAACTCTAGAAATACTCCTCCAACAAGTTCTCTAAGTACAATTAGACTGCCAGTACATGATGGAAAAGGTGATAAGCCTGTGATTGCGAAGAAAGAGACTGTTTTAAACAAACTTTCTACAAGATTCGCCACAGAAGATGGCACTTCCACGCCGAAAAACAAACTTTGTAAGGAGAAATCCGGAAGAAAGGCGCTCGATGCCGAAACGATTAAAGATAGATGCACGGTCAGGACGAATTTTGAAATTGAATTGAGGAAGTGTAACGACATGGTACCTGGCCAGATTATCAAGGCCAAAGCAATTCAAAGGGTTCTATTCAGACTTGGGTGTTCTTTAGAGGAAGCTTGCCTACAGAATATATACAATATTTTCGGAGGAAAAAAATCCAGGTGTCCTACGTTATCAATTGTGCGATCCATGGAGCGGGTATTAAGACTAAAATCTAAGAAAAGACGTCGTCGGATGATGAGTATTTTACCTACCCCGGAATGTCAGAATGGAACAAAGAGTACGGATGATGTGGTGCAGAATACTGTGCATCAGCCATGCCCAATAGCTAGAGTGAAACCAATCTTGTCATCGGAAACTATTCAAACTATTCCAAAAATACAAGGAAAGCTGTCTACTAATTATGTCCATGCAAATGTGACAGGGAAGCATTCTTTTGCCTTGATTTCCCACATTGCGGTAATGCTAGAGTTAACTAGATCACTAGGTCCAAGCAATTTGAAAAGTTGTGACGATGAGGAACTTGTGCATAGATCGTTGAATGAAATAAAAAATAATCAGGATTCAAAGAAATATCTAAATGTAATTGATAGCCCGGAAGATATTGAAAATGAAGTCCCTGAAGTCTTAAAGCAGGTAAAGAACCTATTGGGGTGTGTGAAAGTGAAACAACCAGATCGAAGTTCTGTTTCAAAACATAGATGCTCTCATAATCTAAAGAGCCATTTAGCCAGTTGTTTGGCCATAAGAGGTAGCCTCCCTAGTCTTGGGACATCAGGAATGTCCGAGGAAGAGATTATTGAGGAACATCTATTTTCATTACTGAATAATGATGTATGTCGTTATATAATGAAGATTCCTCAACCGTATGATGTTAATCGTATTACAAGTGAAGTTCTAAAATATATGAACGACGATAAGGACTCGGCTGCACTATAACTATAGTGAAAATTATTTTAATGATAGACTTTTATATTCAGGTTAAATGATATAAGTAACTCTGGAGGGTTACCATCGACTCCCGGAGCAGCACTAGAGTGTGACTAGACATCATCACCGGAATCATCCCTATTGATCTGGTGATGGAAGAGGAAGCAGCAAAAGGAGCTCTCAGACTCAAATCCAACAACCAGTGGATATATGAGCCGATGGTAAACAAGAAGGGCAACCTAATCACCCACACAAAACTTAATGAACAGTAACTAAAGGCTATCAGTCTCAACTCTGAAGGACAAGATCAACAGACAACATCACTGAATGTTGATCTATTGGCTTCAACACAGAAATTCCCCGACTCTCTGAGTATGAGGTAATCGAGAATGATACCAATACTATACAATGTTACACAGACGGCTCCAAAATGAATGAAAAAGTTGGAGCAGGAGTGTACATTGTGGACAACGACAACCCCACATGTGAGGAGTCATACCACCTAGGAATCAACTCAACCGTCTTCCAGGCCGAAACCTTTGCCGTAGGCACTGTGGCAAAAATATTACGGGAATCTGGGACCAAAACTAGAAAAATAATCATACACTGCGATAGCCAGGCGACAATAATGGCAATGAGCAACATCAAAGTCAAATCTAAAAGCACCAGCACGGCTATAAGTGAGCTTAACCAACTAGCAATGGACAATCAAGTCCTACTACGATGGATACCAGCTCACAAAGGCTACGATGGCAACGAAAAGGCAGACTCTCTTGCCAAAAAAGGCTCCGACAATCTGGACTCCGTTCAAGTGCAACTACCAATACCAAAAGTATTATGGAAGGGAGCACTGCGGAGTATAAGTCATCGGAAGATGAGGGAAAGATGGAGAACTTTAACCAACACTCACTTTAAACGAGTATGGAGACAAAAGTTCGCCAGATCA